AAAAAAATTCCAAGATATTTCAAACCTCTTTGTGACCAAACCAATTCACCTGGTAATACCAGTTCTCCTTCATTCCATTTCCCAACTCTATATGCTGAACTTTTGGTCCAATTAACTTTTGCAGATGAGATTTTTGCATAAATGTTAACAATATCAACCAGCTTATCAACATCATTCTGTCCACTGGTTAAAACTAAAACATCATCTGCATATGCTGATAACTTTATAGGTGGAAATGTACTCTCATATGTAAACCCATCTAATTGAGTCCTAATTTTTTTTAACATGGGTTCTATTGCTATGGTGTAAAGCATACCTGACAAGGCACATCCTTGTCTAATCCCCCTTTGTATTTTAAAAGGGCAACTCAAACCACCATTTATTTTCAATACACTTTCAATATTTTCATAGAGCACTTTAATCAAGGCAGTAAAGGCAGGTGGAAAACCAAAAGTTTCAAACGTGTGCCATAAAAACTGATGATCCACCCGATCAAAAGCCTTTTCTTGATCTAGGGAAATTAGGCCACATTTTTTCCCAAACAGTCTAGACACTTCCAAAATATCTCGAATTAAGGATATATTATCCACAACTGATCTATTAGGTACACAATAGGATTGATCTAAATGTATAATCTGTCCAATTACATTCTTCAGTCTGTTTGCCAAAGCTTTTGATAAAATCTTATAATCAGTGCATAATAAAGAAACTGGCCTCCAATTTTTTATTTCTTTGAGATCCCCTTTCTTGGGGAGCAAAGTCAAAACAGCTCTTCTGCAGCTTAGTGGCAGTTGTCCTTTGTCCAAACTATCACTTAAAACCATAAATAGATCATCTCCCAACAAATGCCAATATGCCTTGTAAAAATCAACAGGCAACCCGTCCAATCCGGGTGCTTTTCCATTCTTCATACTCTGCAAGGCATTAAACAATTCGCCTTTTGTTAAGGGACATATCAGTTCTGCATATGAATCTTCATTTATTTTTGGTAGATTGGACACAAATTCAGCCATTAACTGGCCATCCACCACACTTTTGGAATACAGCTCTTTATAAAACCCGACAGCCCTTTTTCGAATATCAGCGGCCTCAGTCAGAGCTTTCCCATCTTCCGCCCGTAAACACTGAATACTTTTTCTTTGGCCATTTTTTCTTTCTAAACTGAAGAAGAACTTAGACGGGGCATCCATTTCAGAAAGACTTTGAAATCTGGATCTAACCAACGCCCCCTGAGACCTTGTACCTAATAGATCTGCTAAGGCTGCTTTTTTTCCTTTAAGGGCCCGCAATTGATTTTGATTTGCAGAGGCTTCATTTAGCGCCTGCAGTTCAACAATATCCATCTCAAGACTTCTCATGGATTGAACTATGTCTCTAGTAACATTGAAAGTGTACTGATTACAAAGTTTCTGTATTTGCACCTTCCCAATCTCCCACCACTGTTGTTGAGATGTAAAAGAAGACTTTTTAGACTTCCACCCCAACCAAAAGAAGGAAAAACACTTACAAAAGTGAGCATCTTCAAGTAAAGCACTATTAAAATGCCAGTAGGCACTCTTATATTTAACAGAATTAATAAAAACACATGCTACTACCATTGAGTGGTCAGAGAAACCAACAGGACAAATATCACAAGATTTAAAACATTGTTTCTGATATTTAAAACAATAAAAAAGATCTAATCTTGCTAAAGAGATGCAGTTTTCTTTCACATGAGCCCATGTATACTGTCTTTCATCGCAATGAAAAGTTCTCCACACATCACAAAGTTGACAAGTTTTGATCACATTTATTAATTTACTTCTTGAAGCCATATGAGGCTCCATATGATTTCTGTCTAAGTCATTACTTGTACAATTAAAATCTCCACCCAGTACTAAAACATTTTCTGTATTACATTGCTTTATGCTATCACATACATTTTCAAAAAACAACATTCTTTCTGTTGATTTTACAGGCGCATAGACATTTATCAATTCCATATTAGCATTTTCAAAACTTTGCTATTATCTTAATTAGTCTACCTTTTACTACTTCTGTAACATCATACGATATTGGTAGACAAGTCTTTGAAAACAAAACAGCCACCCCAGCACTCAGAGCAGTCTTATGACTCAGAACAATACTTCCTTCCCACTCTTTCATCCATTCAACTTCATTATCCTCTGTACTGTGAGTTTCTTGCAAAAACATGACATCTATATTTTTTTATTTCATTAACTCATAAATCTGCGCTCTTTTGCTTGCATCCCTCGCCCCATTTACATTCAGGGAAGATATTTTAAAATTACTCATTATGAGGGATGAAAAAAACACAAAGAGCCAGGTCCATATCACGCTATTATTCTTGTGACAAATCATTATTCAATGCTTGAGGACGCACTTTTTGTACAATCTTTTTTAGACGATACAGCTCAGGATTTGACAAACAACCTTCATCTTTCTGTTTCATTAATATTTTTACTGAGTCAATAAATAAGGAAAGATCAGGAAAATAGTCTATGACCTCAACATTCCTCATTCCCTTTGTACGCTGGAGAAAAAGTTTCATTCTTTCCAAACTGTAACCACTATAGTCTTGTCTCACCTCTTCCTCAACTTGAACTTCAGAAAGTTCTTGCTCACTCTCTGAGCCAGACAAATCGTTCAACACCTCCCGAGAACTTTTAGTACTGGTTTCAACTTGTGCCTTTTTCTTTGATGAAATTACAATCTCACCAACATTAGACTTCCTTTTCACTGCTGGCACTTTAAATGCTGCTTCGTCCTCTTTGAGTAAATCACCCACCATCTCATCCAGCTCAACATCCATTATCTCATCATCTTTTCGAATCCGTTTCTCACTACACTTCACTCCACTACTTCCTGGTTCTTCATTGCCCACACTCAAATCCGAAACCTCACCAACTTCACTTTCTTCTTCCACCCTCTGACTCTCATTTAGATTTTGAGATCCACTTTCCTCTTCTGTACCATTTGACGCATTTTTGTCTGGACACGCGCGTACCAAGTGCCCCACCTTCCCGCATCCAAAGCATTTCATACTCTCCGTTGTTGCAAAAATTACATAATCAAAGCTATCAACTTTGAATTTAAAAGCAATATTAAGTTCGTCAATATCACTCCTCAAAATAACATATACTTGTCTGCGGAAAGACACAACGTGTTTCAACAACGGGGATTTACACCCTAATGGAATTTTCTTAATAGCCGAGACCAACTGTCCATATCGTGATAATTCACGTTGCAGCGCTTCATCACTAATAAATGGAGGCACATTGGAAAGCAAAACCTTTCTCGCTGGGTTAACAAGTGGAAAGACCTTAATCAAACTATCATTGAGAACTATCCCGTTTTCAACTGCCGCATTCGCTTTTTCAATTTTGTCTAAAAATACCACCACCGCACCGTTCATTCTCGATGCCGAACGAATGCTGCTGTGACCAACACCCACCACCGCTCCTACCGCTAAAACACATTCTTCGACTGAGCACTCAACTCCAACCGGCACTTTTATTCCATGCTGCCGGGTGAGTTGCCCATAACTCGTCGTCTCCGCATTCGCCATGGCAGCAGCCAGTTTAAAAACTGGCTAATCCAACTCCCCGTTCTCACCACAATGTTCCCAGTGCTTTGTGACCATACACAATAAAAACCAGTGAAAGAAACAACATATAAGTAAAACAGACCTTTGAAAATGAAGAAAAGACTCCACAGTCACGCTCCTATTCACACTCCGCACTCACTCACTCAACAAACGCCCACGCATGCGCACGAGAGAGAGAGAGAGAGAGAGAGAGAGAGAAAGAGTGTGTGTGTGTGTGTGTGTGTGTGTGTGTGTGTGTGTGTGTGTGTGTGACTCTTGAAGGCAGTCTGCTGAAGGGGTTGCATGTGAGTCAGGAGTTAAGCTGAGGCGACTCTAGAGCGGGGGATGTGTGTCTGCATGTTTCAGAAGAAACCCTCAGTGAACACACAACCACCTGTCTCCAGCATGACTAACACCACAACCAGATGAAGCTCTAAGGCAACACTGACTCAACCAAACACACACACACACACACACACACACACACACACACACACACACACACACACACACACTCTGCTCTGAAAACCTAGTGAACTGCCTTGATGACTTCTAAGAAACCTTATGGGTGGACCCTTATAGTATATTACAGTGGACGCTCTACATGATCCAGCAGATCTACACACACTACAGAGAATAATCTGCACATGAAGGAGACGCAGCTTATCTTTCCAAAAGAGTTTGATTTATGCATATTAGCATGTGATTCAATACAAAGCACACACAAATATTACATTAAAAAAGTTAACCTTTTTTTACTGATAATTTGCTACTGGAATAAATGCATTAATAGACAATATTCTCAGCTCTGACCACCATCTTAAAGTAATTTAGAGTGAGTTTATCGCTATGCTTTCTGGGATTGTCTTTATTGAGAAAGATTGTGCAGTTCTTGAAAAACTATGGTTGTTAAAGTTCTCCTATCATACTATTTTACAGGTTCCTGGAGTCTCCGACGAAAGCTTTATATGCATCCAAGATCAAACAAACTTTATAATCTTCTCATAACATCCACTGCAGCATCAGCTCTATTCTCACAGTCTGAAACAGTTCAATAAAGGATTCGGACTCTAAACCCCGCCTTTTCGAGGGTCTACTCTGCTCTGATTGGTCAGTCTGTTGTGATTGGTCTACTCTGCTCTGATTGGTCAGTCTATTTGGTCAGTCTGTTGTGATTGGTCTACTTTGCTCTGATTGGTCAGTCTTGTGATCGGTTTACTCTGCTCTGATTGGTCAGTCTTGTGATCGGTCTACTCTGCTCTGATTGGTCAGATGACCCAGTCTGTTGTGATTGGTCTACTCTGCTCTGATTGGTCAGTCTATTTGGTCAGTCTGTTGTGATTGGTCTACTTTGCTCTGATTGGTCAGTCTTGTGATTGGTCTACTCTGCTCTGATTGGTCAGTCTGTTGTGATTGGTTTACTCTGCTCTGATTGGTCAGTCTGTTGTGATTGGTCTACTCTGCTCTGATTGGTCAGTCTTGTGATCGGTCTACTCTGCTCTGATTGGTCAGTCTGTTGTGATCGGTCTACTCTGCTCTGATTGGTCAGTCTGTTGTGATCGGTCTACTCTGTCTGCTCTGATTGGTCAGTCTGTTGTGATCGGTCTACTCTGCTCTGATTGGTCAGTCTGTTGTGATCGGTCTACTCTGCTCTGATTGGTCAGTCTGTTGTGATTGGTCTACTCTGCTCTGATTGGTCAGTCTGTTGTGATCGGTCTACTCTGCTCTGATTGGTCAGTCTGTTGTGATCGGTCTACTCTGCTCTGATTGGTCAGTCTGTTGTGATCGGTCTACTCTGCTCTGATTGGTCAGTCTGTTGTGATCGGTCTACTCTGCTCTGATTGGTCAGTCTGTTGTGATTGGTCTACTCTGCTCTGATTGGTCAGTCTGTTGTGATCGGTCTACTCTGCTCTGATTGGTCAGTCTGTTGTGATCGGTCTACTCTGCTCTGATTGGTCAGTCTGTTGTGATTGGTCTACTCTGCTCTGATTGGTCAGTCTGTTGTGATCGGTCTACTCTGCTCTGATTGGTCAGTCTGTTGTGATCGGTCTACTCTGCTCTGATTGGTCAGTCTGTTGTGATCGGTCTACTCTGCTCTGATTGGTCAGTCTGTTGTGATCGGTCTACTCTGCTCTGATTGGTCAGTCTGTTGTGATTGGTCTACTCTGCTCTGATTGGTCAGTCTGTTGTGATCGGTCTACTCTGCTCTGATTGGTCAGTCTGTTGTGATCGGTCTACTCTGCTCTGATTGGTCAGTCTGTTGTGATCGGTCTACTCTGTCTGCTCTGATTGGTCAGTCTGTTGTGATCGGTCTACTCTGCTCTGATTGGTCAGTCTGTTGTGATTGGTCTACTCTGCTCTGATTGGTCAGTCTGTTGTGATTGGTCTACTCTGCTCTGATTGGTCAGTCTGTTGTGATCGGTTTACTCTGCTCTGATTGGTTCGTGCAGGAAGTGAAACTGAAATTACCGACGACTCGTTTCAGGCAGTTCAGAAATGATTCTTTCTTTCAGGAGACAATAACTCCATTTATCTGCACTTTAATCTTTGAAATTTTGCAGACCTTTTACATTCACAAACTGCTACATTACACACTACATGAAAGTTAATATCAAAAAGCAAAATGGGGCACTTTAAAAGGCAATTTAATGTTGCTGTCTACCTCTTGAGACACCTATGAAGGCTTGCTTTTGGATAAATCTCAGAGACAGCAGCATGTAAAATCATTCACTGTGTATCTTTGATTAGGTGAAAATGAACACTGAGATTAAGATTTGAGGTAAATCTGCTCAGACATCAGAGATAAAACAGAGAAAAACAAACCAGACCTTTGATTCAGGAGAACAAAAAAGGTCCCCGTTAATTTAGAGCGTGCTAAACCTCAGAACAATAGATGGAAGGAACTGCACACAAACATTTACTCTAAACATAGACAAAGGAAACACAGCAGCAGAAATCTACCTATATTAGATCAACAGACTTTACGCATGGATGTTTCTGCCTTGTTGTCTTACTGGACTGTATATGGAAAAAAATGTGGTAAACAGGATAAATGTGAGAAATCTGGAAATCCCCTATAACAAGTATTAAATCCTGTATTGTATTTAGAATCAGGAAGCCATTTCATGTCACCTGACTTTACACAGTTAGCTCTGTTCCTCTGATCTTACTCAAATTCATTACAGTTTTGCAGAGCTACAAATGGCTGATATTTAGTCCAATATTTCAGTGTTTGTATCTCTCAGCTCTGTGTTTGTAGCACACTGGATATTCAGTACAACATCACTGTTACTTGTGTGGTATGACTTAATGTATTATTTACCCATAAATGAAAGTACTATCATCATTTACTCACCCTCATTTCGTTTGTTTAATTTAGCCTTTTATTCATGCATAAACATTGACACAGCCAATCAAATATCTTAAAGTCCCCCTGTGGTGTAAATCCAGCTTTTAATGTTGTTTATGTGTCTATGTGGTGTTTTTAATATGCTTTAAGACACACCATGTGTAAGTTCATAAGTCGACAGCATTGCTGAGTATTTTCTGCTTAAAACTGCAGTGAACCAAAGACAGTCTCAAAAACACGGTTTGAAATCGCTGGTGTTTCTGACGTCACAAACGACCTTGTAACCAATCAGATCAACGTGTGATCGTCAACCAGTGGATCTCTGAGCTGAGTGAGTGAGTGGAGGCGGGGCTCATTTGCATATTCATAGAACCACGCATACTAAATGAGGCAAGGGTGTCGAGTTACATTCAAGGTATTTGAAGGCATGAAGAAAATAGCTTTCTTTTTTTCCTTGAAATTTTTTTTCATGGGAAAAAAAAACATTAAAATATGTCATTTTGGTGATCAAAGATGAGTTTAGGGGATACAATTATTGACTACAGGGGGACTTTAAATAGAAGCTCAAATGCTTGACCCACGACAACCAATGAGGTTTGTTCTCGCTAATCAAGCAAGCATGTGCGTTGATCAAAGCCTAAATTAAATTATCATATAAAGCGGTCTTGTCTCTTCAGACTGTATTTTTTGACACAAGAAAAAGATTTGGTTGTGTGGACTTTCAATTGATAGACATTGATATCTTGATTTGTATTTTGAATAACAAAATGAGGTTGAGTGACAGAATTGTCCTTTTTGGGTGAACTATCCCTTTTATTGGACTCAAATTAAAATAACAATTGGTTTTAAAAGTATGAACATTTACCAGATGCCAGCAGATTAGTGAGGCCTTCTTCATATAAGGGGTCGACAGGTGAGTCTCTGCCGGTTTCCCAGTCCATATCCCCCATTTCACTCTCGCCATGACCGCTGTCTTTAGTGCTCAGCCAATCAGCATCCTGAGCCCCTGACCTACAGCACACAATGAGAATAAAGCAGGCAGAGCGGTTCAGAAAAATGTTCAACATCACAGTAAGTGAAAGAGCTCATAGTAAGATGTTTTGAGAAATTAAGCATGTGAAATTGGCACTGGCAAATGAATTGGACATAGAAATCTGTATTATGTATAGTATAGAAGTGTATTATGGTATTTTTAACATGGTACCTGGATACTATTTAGACACGTCCATGATGGAATACTATGGTATTCATTGAAGTACTATTGTATGATATTTTTATATGGTGATCATTCAGTACCATGGTATATTGAAGTACCAAGGCACCATCACTGTACCATGGTGCCGGCACAATACATTTTGGTAAGGGAATATCAGGTGAAAGAGGTACGATTATCTCTGATATCAGTTAAATGGTGTTCTCAAAGCTGGGATTTTTCTGTGAGCTAACATTGAAACTCAAACAACACACAGCAAAAGGAAGTGTGACTGTGCCGTCTTTGTTTTCAGCAAGCCCTGTCTTGCACAGATGAATCACAGTCTATCCTTTCTCTTCTGGATTCTAAATGAACATAAGTCAAATTTATAGAAACAGTAGTGGATTCTACTGGATACCAATCAGAAGTAAGACAAACGGGGGCTGATCAGACACCTCATTCTCACTGACTGATATGTCCTTTTTTTTATACCAGTAATCTACCTGATAAACAGATCGACTTCTAAGATGGCTATTGTGATAGTTTGGTTATTGTGGTATTGCTTTGTGTTCTGTGTTATTTAGTCAAGAGTTGTATCAATTAAGTCAAAAGGAAGTTAAAAAAGGTTTACCGGCCAGTTCTGTGGGAATACTTGTTTCCACGGAAATTTGGTCGAGGCTGAAGTTGTCCCTGATGCAAAAGAGACAGGAGCTGAGACACCTGCTGTAGAATTAAAAAGACACAACATTTATCATGTATTACAGTATATAGGGGAACTTATCATATAACTCACTTTAATCTTTTATATATAATAAAAAGACACCAAACAATTTGTGTGTTCAAGATGTCTGAACTACCACAAATCCCATGCATGACAAGTTTAAAGGCCATTTGGTTTTGGTAGAATGTCATAATTCACGATATAATTTTTGTTTTGGGTTTCACTTAATTTTGATGGTCCCTTTTGAACATTCTGTTGACTATAAGTAACGTTGCACCTACATGCCTGCTAACTCAGTGTTAGTAGAGTATTGATAGACTGGTAGGGTTAGGGTTAGAGTAAGTTGACATGTAGTTACAAAGTTACCTATAGTTAGTAGACTGTCTGTTGGAGGACCACCACAATAAAGAGTTGGCAGATATTAAGCAGACAGTCTACTAATACTGTAATGTTGGCATGTAATTGCAAGGTTACTTATAGTCAACAGAATGTTCAAAAGGGACCATCAAAATAAAATGTAAAGTGTTTGTTGCAGATTAAGCTACAACATATTAGACGGCCAGTCTCCATTAAGCAGTCTGGGATGGGAAAATTGGTTCGAGAGATTGTTAAGTTGTTAAGGACAGGAAGCTGTTTCTACACAGGGTCTATTCTTCTAGAGGCTATTTCCTTCCAGGATGCACAGAAGAAACCCAGCCTTGGCTGCGAGGACAGGCACCGGTGACATTTCAACCCCTTTCCTCTGCAGCCGCCACAGGTCTAATTTGCCAACTGGGCCAAGTGAGTAAGGGAGGGTGGATTAGAGAGGAGGAAAAGAGAGAGGGGTGGAGGGAGGTCAGGATCCACGCTCTTCCTGACTGGCCTCAGTATTCACGTGAGGGCTCAAACCCGTGCCAGGACCTTTTGTTCTGCTAAACACTTTGGTAGAGGTGCGCACCTGGGTGGACCCAGACCCAAAGGATACAGCATTTGACTAGCACAGCACTTTTGGGTGTTTTGAAATATTAGCTGGTGAAAAGTAGTTATTCTCACTTTTCTTTTTGAATATAATGAGAATCAGATCAGTTCAAGCTATTTGTTGCTGACTCCCTCCAGCCCATACATGCCAGAGAAGTATAATGTTACTGTGCAGAAGTATTATGGACTATGGAATGAATCTGTATTTTTTTATCACATTCAGTGGGACTCTGTAATGTGATAACATTGAGGATTGGCAGCGTTTTCTCCTGAGGCATATTAAAGGTTTAAGTTACTGTGTGACACTGAACTGTTTCTGAATACACTTCATCATGCCTTCATCATCTGTCAACTGTCCCCTAAGGCTGCTATAGATATGGGCCGGTACAACTCCAGAGTGGGAAAACTATAATCTACTTGAGCTTATATGAACTGGCGTGTCTTGAAATAGCCTTCAAAGTAAAATGTATTTTCATATCTGAAATGTTAAAATAGTATTAAAAAAAGAAAGACAAAATCTCTTACTTGCACCTCCGGTGAGGCAGAGGACAGTTCAATAGAACCGTTTTCTGCAAAGGCCGCCATAGAGAGCCGAACAAGATTCTTTAGGATCTGCCTGTGGTCTGACTCTTCCATCCGTCCTCTTCTTTCTGTGGTCTTTGGTCTCCGTAATGTGGCCTGATTACTAGGAACTGAAGCCATTGTTTGTGAGGGGTCCATGTTCATGGGCTTGACGTCGTCATTTTTGTTTCGTCTAAGTGTGCTGGTCTGTGAGTTTGCGAAAGAAGAGGAGGAAGAATTTCTGGTCTTTTGCAGGGTTCGATAGGGTGTTCCTGGGTTATAGGGAAGTGTCCCGTTCCACTCTATGCTCCCAGGCTTTCTGAGTATCTTGCTTTGAGTAAGTGGTGGGTTCCCATCCATTTCCATATGAGCTTGATTTTGAGTCATGCGAGCAAGGGTTGGTGTAAGTGTAAATTGGCCCTGTGGATTTGGTTTTTCCACTAAGGGTAATGTAGATGACAATGCCTCAGCTTCATCTTCTTGTGGGGTTTCTTTACGACCCCGAAGTGCCGGTACCAACTGGATGTCAGTCTTGCGAATGTGCTTTTGAGGCCGTCGTGGGTGACTTGTGTAGGTTGACTCAGCTTGCCTACAGTTGTAAGCACGGTTATCCCGTTTGTCAGGATGACAGAATGTCTTGGCCAAAGCAATGGCTAGAAATAATACCAGGCAGGTTGATCCAAGGCAAATGGCCAAAAGCATTGTAAAACTGTACTTGGCCTGGTTATCGCGAGACAAGTTCTTCAGGTGGTCACGAAAATTGATGAAAGTTACTTCCAAGGTGGTTCTTGTGGTAAGCATAGGCGTTCCCATATCAGATACCGCTATGCCCAGCTTAAAAGTTCTGCCGATCAATTCTGTTGCGTTAGATGTGTTCACGTAGAGTTGCCCAGTAGCTTTGTCAAGAAAAAATATGTTAGAAGGGTTGCCATCTGTTATTCCAAAACTTAGTCTTCCATTGAGACCAGAATCTGGATCACTGGCCCGAATGGTAGTGGCCAGAAAACCTTCGGGTTTATTGAGGGAAGAGTAATTTCTTGGTTTGAGGAAGTTATCCTCCAGGACTTTATCTCCAAGTTCAGTCACAATCTCCCCTTTGTCCACATTCACTGGGACATTTAGCAATGCAACTCCCTTCATGGGAGGTGGCTCATGGATTATGGGGTAATTGTCATTAACGTCCTGTACCTCAACCAGCACTGCTGCACTACTGGTCTTTGGTGGGTATCCTTGATCTACAGCCTCAACAATAAATGAGTAGGAACGGGATTCCTCATAGTCTAATGATTGCTGGACAGTTACAGCCCCACTGCTGGGGTGGACAGAGAAAAATGCTGTTGGTGTCCCCAGTTCATTTGACTCTTTAATGGAGAATGATACCCTTCCACTGAGGTCCAGGTCATCATCATGTGCCTCCACAGTCAAGAAATGGAAGCCAGGTGTGTTGTTCTCTTTGAGGACACTCCGGTAGTGACTTTTGGTAAACATTGGTGCGTTATCGTTTTCATCCAAAACATGGACAGTCATGTGCTTAATGCAGGACAGAGAAGGATCACCACTGTCTTGCGCTAGAAGAGTAAGGTTATATTCCATCTGTCTCTCACGATCCAGAGTATCATTGGTTACAATCATGTAATTGTCTCCATGGATTTGTTTGAGTCTGAAGGGGCCAGATCCACTCAGAATGTGCACTTGTACCTGCCCGTTTGCCCCAGAATCAGCATCAGATACCATCACGAGAGCAAGGAAAGCTTCATTTGGTGCTCCCTCTGAGACTGTTGCAACAGGGGAATTTTGTGGATTCCATGTTATGTGTATACGAGGAGCATTATCATTGACATCTAGCAATTTAATCTGCAACTTGTGGTGGGACGGGTTAGCATTGGGCCCCAGATCTCGAGCTTGGAGGTCTACCTCAAACACATTCTTTTCTTCAAAATCTAAAGGGCCTTGTAAAGTCAAAGCACCTGTTTTGGGATGGATGCTAAATAGTCTTTGCACTTCCAGTGGGACATGTTTACTAAGGGAGTACTCAACCTCTCCATTAGCACCTTGATCAGGGTCTGTAGCACGGAGATTGATGACTATCGTCCCACGAACTGTGTCCTCTGCTAGCTCAATAACTGTTGGGGCCTCCTCAAATACAGGGCTATTGTCGTTGGAGTCGAGAATCGTGACTATAACTTTTGTGCTGCCTGATTTTGGTGGGTTTCCTTTGTCCCAGGCTGTCAGAACCAGTTCTAAAGATGGCTGCAACTCCCTGTCCAATTCTTTGATGATCACTAATTCGGCCTGCTTGGCCCCTCCAGAGGTTCGGACATCCAGAGCAAAGTGCAGGTTGGAAGACAGAGAGTAAGTCTGCAGGCCGTTCGGTCCCGAATCTGGATCTACAGCACGGTCCAGAGGGATGCGCATTTTTAGTGAGGCCGTCTCCGAGATCTCCACCTCCTGCACTAGACTGGAAAAGACTGGGCTGTGGTCATTAAGGTCCATCACCTCCACATGAACTGAGAGGAAATGCATAGCACCACCCTTTCTGTAGAGCACACTGAAGGCCAGTTCACAAAGTTCTTCACCTGAGCATAGCTCCTCACGGTCCAGCCGGCCTAGTGTTGACACAGTACCATCCCTTAAAGCAACTGTGACCGGTGGGGCGTGTCCATGTTGCACGACCCGGAAGTTTTCCAGTGACCCTGTCACCCCACGCTCACGTAGGTCATCCAGCAGGCGACCCACCCTAGTCCCTGAGGGCTGTTCTTCCCAGACACGATATTGGATAATGAGGGGAGCGGAGCCCATATTGTGGGCGTAACAGGGTGGACACTCAATAAGAGCTGCCAGAAGGAGCAAAACCTGGAGCATGACTGTGTGTGAGGTTTCCTATTTCCTTTTACGTAGGGTCAAATGTGCTAAGCACCTAGATAGGCATTCTAATGCCTCACAAGACATCTACAATTCACAAAAGATATTCAAAAACCTATACACTAAAACCTATATAGCTATACACCTACTCTATGGTTAAAATGAAATACTAAAAAGCTTTAAAAATAATTTATGATTAAAACAGTAGCACCACAACCAGGTACTCTATAAATTACCATTTAAAGAGAATATAAGAGTCACAAAAATTAGAAAATAATCTAGCTTTAGAGTTACAACTTCGTAGAAGTGTTACCCGTAAAACTAAGTTTTACTGAAATCAACGGACATGTTACTTAATACAAATATTAAACAATAAACAATCATGGTAAAATATTGATCACTTTCACACAACAAAACCACTTTCATAAAAGATTATGTTCAGACCCTTCTGATTTTTAAATGGAGCTTAAGCCAAATCAATGTTATTCTAAAGCACTACTCACTCACACACAGCTGCTGCTTCCCGGCTTAGGACTGAAGTGAGGAGCTGTGGAACTGGGATGGCTCGTTCAAGGGGGAATGGCCTGTGAGTCAATGACAAACATCGAGGGAGGAGTGTGCAGTGCTCCTTAACTCCACCCGTCTGTAGCAATGAGTGGGAATGAGTCTGGAATCAACGGTGGGCTTTTAACGAAACATGATCCCACCTCTTTCATTCACTGCCTCTAGCTCTTCACACATCTGACTTTACTCCTTTTCCAAACTGTCTAAATAAACACAATAAGAGTCGTAGTGTCTGGAATCTGTCATCAGTGTTGAAGCAAACCTAAGGTGAGACCCTCAGGGGCCCTGAAAACAAAAACAAGGCCTGGATCTGAACTCTGAGAGTGCTGATGTAAAGTCCAGAACCTGTTGCTGTCATCACAAACCCAGATAGTCACTCCTATGACACACTCCAACAACCTTTAGTGCTAGACATTTTTAAAAAATAACTGATTTGTGCTTCAATTTGATGGTTTTGTGAAATGTCTGGGAGTTGGGGAATGTATTTTTTGTCTTGGTATACCTTTGCAAAGTCTGTCTTTATTACAAAACAGGGACAGACATACCAAATACTGAAATGCATGTTAATTTTTTACTTCAATCTTACTCGTTCATTTGTATGTTGCATAAAATTTGTACTGGAAAGAAAAGATTTGATTAAAAAAATGCTAGTGGTACCATTTTTTAAGGAAATAATGATTTTTAAGCTAGTGCATTTTTAATGCATTTAACTAAATAAAAGGACATTTTTCTAGATTAATGAATGTAAAAAAAAAAAAGTGTTAGTTCACAATGCCTTATGCATTAACTGCTACCATTTGCATATATAATTTCAAACGTCTCCCAATGATTTGGGTTGTACATTTTAAAATCCCAAACCAAAATAACGGATTTGTGCTTTTCTGAAATGGCTGGGAGTAGCCAAAATTAGTTTTTTGTCTTGGTATACCTTTGCAAAGTCTGTCTTTATTACAAAACAGAGACAGACATACCAAATACTAAAATGTATGTTCATGTTTTACTTCAATCTTACTTATAATTTGTACTGGAAAGAAAATATTTGATTTTATAAAAATGCTAGTGGTAGCCTAATCCCCATTTTTTTGTTTATTAAATAATTATTTATATGCTAATGCATTTTTAATGCATGCAACTAAATATCAGGACATTGTTCTAGATTAATGAATGTAAAAAAAAAAACTTGAACTGCGTTAACTGCTACCATTCGCATATTTAATTTAAAACGTCTCCCAATGGTTTTGGTTGAACAAGCAAGAGAATAATATATGTTATTGAAGGCTTGTGGCCAATGAAAAGAGGATGGTGAAAGGGGAAAGAGCAGACCCCACTTCCCCTCTACATGGGGGTCTCCTAACATAAACTATCCCATTACCTGGAGCCAATAAAAGCCTTTCCCAGAGCGATAACACAGAGCTGCAGGATAACAGACGTGATAGCCTTGCCCTGTTCAAAGAGATCACAGGCCTACACACCGGATTGTATATTTATGTGTGATCTGATGCTTATGAATTGGGCTGTCGAGAGTTATTCCTACTCTAAGAACTGGTGTGCATGTGTTTCTCAGGGGTCAGAGGTCACTTCATGTGATCAGGGTCTATCTCTTAAATAAACAGGGCTTTGCTTTCACACATAATCCTCTCTCCAGTTTCTAATTAACTCCATTTGTGCCGAGTATAAACCAAGGGTTTGACTCCTCATGTCTCGTATTCTGCTCCTCCACACGGTTTCCTGCAATCTGAGTCCCGGTTGTTTGTCTTTTTAACTTTCTCCCCTTCACTCTCTTTCTGCAGGTCACAAAGGATATATATTAAAGCAGTAAGCCCCGTGAAGCCTTGGTTTCTTAGAACAGTTGTTGTCTTTTCCACACACAAAGCTATAGTATGGCATGAGTATAATAGATTCTGTGTATTTATGTATTTATTTATTTCTTTTTGCTGTGTGTTCCATGACCAAATGCATACAGGTTTTTATTTCAACTATTCTATACTCGTTTTACAATATTATTATTGTTAAGCATGTATACGCTAAAAAATGCTTTAAAAATCCTTATGTGTGAACCTTTCAAGAACATGTCCAGTTCATATTTTACCACACAATCAACAGAAACATATACACTCTAAACAATGCTGGGTTGTTTCAACCCAAATTTGGGTCAAATATGGACAAACCCAAACCCAATTTACAGTTGAAAGTTGAAAATCTTAAATTACATTTTTAACCCAGCATTTGGGTTTGTCCATATTTGACCCAAATTTGTGTTAAAACAACCCAGCATTGTTTAGAGTGTATATGTTTCTGTTGATTGTGTGGTAAAATATGAACTGGACATGTTCTTGAAAGGTTCACACATAAGGATCTATTTTAATCGTGTGAATGGTGAGCGAAGCTAAACAGAGAGAAGCATATCTCACTCGGGTTTTCTTTCAAAATACCACACATGCATGTGTGCACAAACCTAATGCAATTAGTTTTTCCATATGAAATGCAAAAAAAAACAAAAGTCCCAGTATATCCTGTATCTGGCCGCCACATTGCGTCGCTGAGGTTTTCTTCAACATGGCATACGTGAATTAAATTAGACTACAGTCCAGACACATTCTGTGTGTGTGTGTGTGTGTGTGTGTGTGTGTTTCATGAGCCTCCCCCGCTTCCCCTACCTCCACCTCCTCTTATTACACGAGGCCGAGGAGCTAAACATCATTGTACGGCGTAAACAGTGTGTGTGACACAGTAAACCGAGGTGAACTGTTGATGCTTTCGGCAGACGGAGAGGAAGCGCTGAAGACGCACACAAACACCGGTTTCAGTGGCTTGAGGTCAGTCGTCTCCTCTCAGGCCTGAAGGAGGAATGCCAAACAACCTCACAACACATTCCTGACAGACGACACACTCTTATCTCCAGATGAATATTCAGACCAATCATGTCCATCTGACAAACAAGCTGCCCCGTCAAGCACACAAGTGTCTCGCAGCAAAGAAGAGAAGACTTCAAAAACAGTCGGGAGGGCTGTGATATCAGAGTTACAAAGGACAACCAAATGAATGATGCATTCTGTTGAACTATATCACAGAGTCTCATCTCTGAGAGAGAGAGAGAGAGAGAGAGAGAGAGAGCAGTGAGACTGAAGTTTTGCTGAAGAAGATTAGACTGAAAGAAGGAGCCGGGTTCAAGCATCTGTGTCTGCAGTGCATGTGTGAGGAACAGGGCCACATTAGAGACTCTTTATTAGTGATGGGGACTAGACCGCCTATGCCGAGTCCGAGTCAAGACCGAGTCTTTGAAGGGTCGAGTCCGAGTCGAGACCGAGTCCGTTGGTTTTCAAATACAGTCGAGTCCGAGTCAAGACCGAGTCTTTGAAGGGTCGAGTCCGAGTCGAGACCGAGTCCGTTGGTTTTCAAATACAGTCGAGTCCGAGTCAAGACCGAGTCTTTGAAGGGTCGAGTCCGAGTCGAGACCTAGTCCGTTGGTTTTCAAATACAGTCGAGTCCGAGTCAAGACCGAGTCTTTGAGGAACCAAGTCCGAGTCGAGATTTTGTCTCGACATGTCAGTTTTGATATTCATGATTTAATATCACCCCAGTTAATGATCAACAGTTAGGCCTACAGACTAAGCTAGATTGGGAATTGTTTAGAGGAGCAGTCTTAACTAGTGATGGGGATGCGACCGCCTATGCCGAGTCCGAGTCGAGACCGAGTCTTTGAAGGGTCGAGTCCGAGTCGAGACCGAGTCTTTGAAGGGACGAGTCCGAGTCGAGACCGAGTCTTTGAAGGGACGAGTCCGAGTCGAGACCGAGTCTTTGAAGGGTCGAGTCCGAGTCGAGACCGAGTCTTTGAAGGGTCGAGTCCGAGTCGAGACCGAGTCTTTGAAGGGTCGAGTCCGAGTCGAGGCCGAGTCTTTGAAGGGTCGAGTCCGAGTCGAGACCGAGTCTTTGAAGGGTCGAGTCCGAGTCGAGACCGAGTCTTTGAAGGGTCGAGTCCGAGTCGAGACCGAGTCTTTGAAGGGACGAGTCCGAGTCGAGACCGAGTCTTTGAAGGGACGAGTCCGAGTCGAGACCGAGTCTTTGAAGGGACGAGTCCGAGTCGAGACCGAGTCTTTGAAGGGTCGAGTCCTAGTCAAGACCGAGTCTTTGAAGGGTCGAGTCCGAGTCGAGACCGAGTCTTTGAAGGGTCGAGTCCGAGTCGAGACCGAGTCTTTGAAGGGTCGAGTCCTAGTCAAGACCGAGTCTTTGAAGGGTCGAGTCCGAGTCGAGACCGAGTCTTTGAAGGGACGAGTCCGAGTCGAGACCGAGTCTTTGAAGGGTCGAGTCCGAGTCGAGACCGAGTCTTTGAAGGGTCGAGACCGAGTCTTTGAAGGGTCGAGTCCGAGTCGAGACCCCGACGAAAGTCCCCGGTTCGAGTCAGGAGTCCGGTCTGTGTTTGCATGTTCTCCTTGTGTGTGCTCTGGTTTATGGGGGAATCGGGGACGTTAAATTGTCCATAGGTCATGTGTCACCTGCATGTGTGTGTGAGTCCCAGGCCGTGTAATGGGGAAAGTTGGTGAAAGACCCATGGCAACCACGAAAAAATCATCGCCAAGACAATTCATGGACAGTCTATCGCGTATGGCAAGAGCAACATAGTGTCGGCCCAGATCCGGCCCACATCCGGGCCGTGTGGAATCCAGGTGTACCGGATCTGGGCCGACACATGTTGCTGTCTGGGCTGTGTGTGAACATGATGGGGATTGTAGTTCTAGACTAATGTGAGCATTTACTCCTCTCACTGGCAAATAAACAGATTCAGGGTTCCTCATGATGAATAAAAACAGTGAAATGCAAACTCAGAATTATGCGAATCTGCAACAATTATGTTAAATAACACACTATAATTTACAGGTAAAACTCGAAAAATTTGAATATCATGCAAAAGTTCATTTATTTCAGTAATTCAACTTAAGGTGAAACTAATATATTATATAGACTCATTACATGCAAAGTGAGATATTTCAAGCCTTTATTTGTTATAATTTTGATGATTATGGCTTACAGCTTATGAAAATCTTTTCACAATATTCTAATTTTGAATTTGGGGTTTTCATAAGCTGTAAGTCATGATCATCAAATAGCATATATTAAATAGCAATATTAAATAGCAATAATCGAATAATAATCATTTTTCTATTTGACAAGCTGACTAGGAAGAAAAATAGTTTTGTGTTTTATGTAAGCAATAAGGTACGAGAGGCTGTGCTGTATCGTGAATAAGTAACGGCTGAAGGGCGTTGTTAGGCTCGACGCGAAGCGGAGTAACCCCTTCAGCCGTTACTTATTCACCATACAGCACTTGCATCGAGCACCTTATTGCTTTTATGAAACTGTTACCACACAATAAAAATATTAAAGTTAAAAAAATAAATATTAGTGCAACTTTCATGAAGTAAAATCACTAAAAGCCTTCCTTCCGCTAGAAAAAAATAGTCCCTGACCGACCATGAACAGCAACAACGTTCCAATGTGTAATATATGCATGAAAGCTCAAATAAAAACAACATAGGAACCGCAGTGTTGCGGAGTGATAAACAGAACCGTTGGGTGAAGCGGTCATAGCCGAGTTTTATCATGAATAAAACACAGCTATTGGCCAATCAGAATCAAGGATTGGAACTAACCGATTTATAAAATATATATTAAAAACAAGCAAATTGTGAATTATTGCCAAATATTTCACAAACCACATTGCCTAACTCTAGATATTCTCTGTGATGTGGTGAATTCCCCAAAGCACTCGGGAAGGGTCGGATTTTGGGAATTGAGCAGATTATCAGTGATTGGGAAATGCCTAAACTGAAGCCGACACTGACAGACACACACACTTCAGTGGACATTGGCCTTGGCTGGTTCACTTGTGCAAGCAAACGTCCTGCCGCACACACAAGTGCTGTAACTCTGCATAAACACACAGTTTTCAGCAGAAGCTTCAGCGTATATAGAGGAATAAAAGAAACACAAAGCAACAGCGAGATGGAAAAGAAAAAGAAACATTCACAGTAAAAAGTGCTTCACGAACAAGTTTTGTTATGAATTAATAGGTTAATTCTGAGATGTTAAATAATATTTTTGACTTGAATAAAGTCAACCATTTATTGCATATAAGAACATAATCTCACTTTTTCATCAGAATCAAACTCAACGAATGGCAAAGATCCAATGCATTCATCACTTTCACAGATACATGCACTTTCCCGTAGTTGTGATGAAACACGCGCGAAGAACATAAATATGGGATGTAATGTTCTATAACAAACTGATAAGTGTCAGGAAAAGTAAACAGCCTGTGATGATGATGTGTTGGTGTTTCAGTAATGGGCATTTCCCTGATCTCCAGTCCGGCTTTACTGTGTGTGTAATGATTACACACTGAGCTGGTGTTGCACAATACGGCTGGGATGATGGGAGATAAAAGCTGCGGGACAGAGCAGTCTTCATCAGACTCTACGAGCTGAAACTCCACACGATGCTCCGCTGCGGCTCGTTCCTGATGTGCCTCCTGCACCTACAGCACACTGGTGAGTACAGCACACTACTGAGGGCACCACACTGGAGAGTACAGCACACTACTGAGGGCACCACACTGGAGAGTACAGCACACTACTGAGGGCACCACACTGGAGAGTACAGCACACTACTGAGGGCACCACACTGGAGAGTACAGCACACTACTGAGGGCACCACACTGGTGAGTACAGCACACTACTGAGGGCACCACACTGGAGAGTACAGCACACTACTGAGGGCACTACACTGGAGAGTACAGCACACTACTGAGGGCACTACACTGGAGAGTACAGCACACTACTGAGGGCACCACACTGGTGAGTACAGCACACTACTGAGGGCACCACACTGGAGAGTACAGCACACTACTGAGGGCACCACACTGGAGAGTACAGCACACTACTGAGGGCACTACACTGGAGAGTACAGCACACTACTGAGGGCACCACACTGGAGAGTACAGCACACTACTGAGGGCACCACACTGGTGAGTACAGCACACTACTGAGGGCACCACACTGGAGAGTACAGCACACTACTGAGGGCACTACACTGGAGAGTACAGCACACTACTGAGGGCACTACACTGGAGAGTACAGCACACTACTGAGGGCACCACACTGGTGAGTACAGCACACTACTGAGGGCACCACACTGGAGAGTACAGCACACTACTGAGGGCACCACACTGGAGAGTACAGCACACTACTGAGGGCACCACACTGGAGAGTACAGCACACTACTGAGGGCACTACACTGGAGAGTACAGCACACTACTGAGGGCACTACACTGGAGAGTACAGCACACTACTGAGGGCACCACACTGGAGAGTACAGCACACTACTGAGGGCACTACACTGGAGAGTACAGCACAGCACACTACTGAGGGCACCACACTGGAGAGTACAGCACAGCACACTACTGAGGGCACTACACTGGTGAGTACAGCACACTACTGAGGGCACCACACTGGAGAGTACAGCACAGCACACTACTGAGGGCACTACACTGCTGAGGGCACTACACTACTGAGGGCACTACACTGCTGAGGGCACTACACTACTGAGGGCACTACACTACTGAGGGCACTACACTGCTGAGGGCACTACACTGCTGAGGGCACTACACTACTGAGGGCACTACACTGCTGAGGGCACTACACTACTGAGGGCACTACACTACTGAGGGCACTACACTGCTGAGGGCACTACACTGCTGAGGGCACTACACTACTGAGGGCACTACACTACTGAGGGCACTACACTACTGAGGGCACTACACTGCTGAGGGCACTACACTACTGAGGGCACTACACTACTGAGGGCACTACACTACTGAGGGCACTACACTACTGAGGGCACTACACTGCTGAGGGCACTACACTACTGAGGGCACTACACTGCTGAGGGCACTACACTGCTGAGGGCACTACACTACTGAGGGCACTACACTACTGAGGGCACTACACTACTGAGGGCACTACACTACTGAGGGCACTACACTACTGACGGCACTACACTACTGAGGGCACTACACTGCTGAGGGCACTACACTACTGAGGGCACTACACTACTGAGGGCACTACACTACTGAGGGCACTACACTGCTGAGGGCACTACACTGCTGAGGGCACTACACTACTGAGGGCACTACACTACTGAGGGCACTACACTACTGAGGGCACTACACTGCTGAGGGCACTACACTACTAAGGGCACTACACTGCTGAGGGCACTACACTGCTGAGGGCACTACACTACTGAGGGCACTACACTACTGAGGGCACTACACTACTGAGGGCACTACACTACTGAGGGCACTACACTGCTGAGGGCACTACACTGCTGAGGGCACTACACTACTGAGGGCACTACACTACTGAGGGCACTACACTACTGAGGGCACTACACTGCTGAGGGCACTACACTACTGAGGGCACTACACTACTGAGGGCACTACACTACTGAGGGCACTACACTGCTGAGGGCACTACACTGCTGAGGGCACTACACTGCTGAGGGCACTACACTACTGAGGGCACTACACTACTGAGGGCACTACACTGCTGAGGGCACTACACTGCTGAGGGCACTACACTGCTGAGGGCACTACACTACTGACGGCACTACACTACTGAGGGCACTACACTGCTGAGGGCACTACACTACTGAGGGCACTACACTACTGAGGGCACTACACTACTGAGGGCACTACACTGCTGAGGGCACTACACTGCTGAGGGCACTACACTACTGAGGGCACTACACTACTGAGGGCACTACACTACTGAGGGCACTACACTACTGAGGGCACTACACTGCTGAGGGCACTACACTGCTGAGGGCACTACACTACTGAGGGCACTACACTGCTGAGGGCACTACACTGCTGAGGGCACTACACTGCTGAGGGCACTACACTACTGAGGGCACTACACTACTGAGGGCACTACACTACTGAGGGCACTACACTGGTGAGGGCACTACACTACTGAGGGCACTACACTACTGAGGGCACTACACTACTGAGGGCACTACACTGGTGAGGGCACTACACTACTGAGGGCACTACACTACTGAGGGCACTACACTACTGAGGGCACTACACTGGTGAGGGCACTACACTACTGAGGGCACTACACTGGTAAGGGCACTACACTACTGAGGGCACTACACTGCTGAGGGCACTACACTACTGAGGGCACTACACTGGTGAGGGCACTACACTACTGAGGGCACTACACTACTGAGGGCACTACACTACTACACTGGTGAGGGCACTACACTACTGAGGGCACTACACTGGTGAGGGCACTACACTACTGAGGGCACTACACTGGAGAGGGCACTACACTACTGAGGGCACTACACTACTGAGGGCACTACACTACTGAGGGCACTACACTACTACACTGGTGAGGGCACTACACTACTGAGGGCACTACACTACTGAGGGCACTACACTACTACACTGGTGAGGGCACTACACTACTGAGGGCACTACACTGGTGAGGGCACTACACTACTGAGGGCACTACACTGGAGAGGGCACTACACTACTGAGGGCACTACACTACTGAGGGCACTACACTACTGAGGGCACTACACTGGAGAGTACAGCACACTACTGAGGGCACTACACGGAGAAACATGCTTTCGTACTTGGTATTTTTGTCTCGTTTCTTAAATCAAGATGCATTTACTAGATGAGTAAAATGACGTAAGAGATTGTCTTGTTTTCTGGGGAAATTAATCTAAATTAAAGGGATACTCCACCCAAAAATGAAAATTCTGTCATCATTTACTCACCCTCAAGTTGTTGCAAACCTGTGTGAGTTTCTTTCTTCTGATGAACACAAAGGAAGATATTTTGAAGAACTATTGGAACTTGGGCACCATTGACTTCCATAGTATTTTTTTCTACTATGGAAGTCAATGGTGCCAAACAACTGTTCGGTTCCAATCGTTATGACAGAATTTTCATTTTTGGGTGGAGTATCCCTTTAAGGGAGTTTTGCTTAAAAAAATAATGTTAATTCAAACAGAAACAAGATTATTTTTCTGACCCCATTGTCAGATAATTTTGCGTGTTTTAAGCAAAAACTCCCTTAATTTTGATTAATTTCTCCAGAAAGCAAGACATAATATCGTAAGGCCTTTTACTACTTTAGTAAATGCATCTTGATTTAAGAATAGTTTGATATCTGGACTGGAAACAAGACTGAAAAGCATTTTTGCAAGTGTGATGTGAAATTATTCTGAAGTGTGGAGCTAAACTGAACTCGTTCGACTGTGAACCCAGACAGCAACATAGTGTCTGTGTCGGCCCGGATCCGGCCCACATCCGGTACAGCTGGAGTCCACACGGCCCGAGTGTGGGCCGGATCTGGGCCGACACTGTCTGGTCTGATTGGTTCATAGACGTGGTGGTGGTCATCATATCTCTGTCTTGTTGTCTGCAGTTTTGGGAGCCGCTGTCACCCCAAAGCCGATCATTATCAACGGCACGTACATCAACCCAGAGCTGGGCAAGTATCACGCCAGACTGCGGACGCTCGGCCGAAGCTGCCTGGAGATCCGGGAGAACCACGGCGCCACACAGGGTGAGTGCTGACGCGTCTCTCATACGCCACTCACAGAGCCATTCTGGACAACTCAAACATGCTTCCACTCAAACGTTCAGACACACTTCATTGAATTTATATTTCTTATCTTTTCATCAAATTTTTAACATACAAAATGACAAAGACAAACAATCAGATATTACAACAGTATGCAAAAATCTAAATAACAGTGAAAAAAATATGTAAAAAAATAAATAAATAAATTATAATAAAAATTAAAGCTGCAAGCAGCATTTAGCGGTTAAGCAGTTAAGGCCTTTAAGGCCGTTAAGCACAAAAGCATCAAAAGACATTAAGTTTTATTTAGCATATATTTAAACACTGACATAATAGATGGAAAACACCATTTACAGCCAATACAGGCAATTTACCATAGGAAATACATGGTTTTAAAGCTTTTTAACAGTTATAGCGCCACCTATGGTCCGATCTCCATGAAACTTTGCATGCTTCCTAACCATGTTAGGACACATATGCTCATCAATTTTTGTGAAGTTCTGAGTTTTCCTTTAGGATTTATAGGCTTTTGACTGTATTTTGCCACGGACCACTTTCTAAATGACCCTGTTGTAGCCAACCAATTGCAAAATTTCAACTTTTTTTTGATAATTATTGCTCTAGAGAGTCCAGAGAATTGTCCTAGACTGGTCTGGTTCCGATCGGGCGAAAAACCAGGGAATAGTTCGCAAAAGTAGGTTTTGTACAAAATTCAACATAGCGTAAAATCTTGAGGCTAGGAGTTATGAGCAATTTAGTACTTTTGGTTGCTGTAGCGCCACCTATGGGCCAATCGGGGTCATACTCTGATAGGTTCTCCCCAAAAGTGTGGCCTACCATGGGTAGACTTTACGGTTTGGGCTGCACGATGCGTTTTAGGGGATTTTTTTTTTTTCAAATAGCAATTACAATAGGTTTTCAGCACTTCGTGCTTATACGCCTAATAATAATAACTGGTCAGTTACACTGAAGAGTGAATAACAGAGATACAGAAAACAAGTATTTGAGACCAATGCTTCAAAATATACACAAGATAAGACAAGTACTACTGATAATGTAACATCGATACAAAAATATTGACATTTCTAATTTCAGTGTTAGACATTTCAGAAGTCTACGAGCGTTGCAATTACAACCCAACAGGGAACCCTATACAACTGTAGATATATGAAAAATAATGAAGAATAAAAAAAATAACTAATGAGAACAAGAACAATAATTGTTTTTAATTTTTTTTTATTAAAGCGATAAGACCAGAGATAGTTTGTGTGTGTGGGGGGGATCTTCTTCTTCTTCTAAAAAGTAACATCTTTCGATCTAAAGGCTTCTGCTTAAATACTTGATATCAGTAAGTGCAAACACACAACCGGCCAAGAGTTTGGAATAATAATTCAGATTTTGGTTCCACTTTATTTTTCACTTCAGACATTCTACTAACTATCGCCCGGTTTCACAGACAAAGCTTAATCTAGTCTCAGACTAAAGCGTGTTTGAGCTGTTTTAACTGAAAGCGAATCTTAAAATATGTCAGTTCCATGTTTTCTCTGAAGATGCACAACAGTGATGTTTTTATTAAAAAGTTAAAAATGTTGGGTTGTTTTTTTAACCCAACCGTTGGGTTACACATATGTTGGGTTATTTCCAAAAAATGTTGGGTCATTTTTAAAATCATTGGGTCATTTCTAGAAATAACCCTACTGTTGGGTTAAATACATATGCTTGTATGTACACTTGTGTATTTTGAATTTATGTACACAGTTATGTATATTTACATTAAATTCTAGACTCCCCGATATTTAATTTGAAATTTAAATATATAATTGTGGAGACATATTTATTGTTTTACACAAATAAATAATCTGTATTGAAAACAAAGTGTATTTAATAATGTAATAAATACAAATAAATAGTTATCTTAACTGTTGGGTTACTTTTAACCCAACTGGCTTTTAACCCAGTGCATTGGGTTAAAATAACCCACAGTTGGGAAGGCGCTATACCATCCCATAGTTGGGCTACCCGTTGGGTTATTTTTAACCCAACATTGTTAAGTGAGTACTCCTGTCTTGTCTGTGAAACCAGGTCTAAAGGTAACTTGACTATAAGTAACTTTGATATATGCCAACTTGTTCTAACCCTACCAGTCTACTAATACTCTACTAACCCTTTAATGAGAGTTATAGGACATGTAGGTGCAACATAGTAGTCATAGTCAACATAGGGACCATCAAAATAAAGTGAAACCGAGTAAAGCACGTTGTGAAAGTGCGATGTGTGTGTGTCTCGTCAGACGGCATGTACATCTTGAGCACAGCGAGCGGCACGTACTACCAGGCGTTCTGTGACATGAGCTCAGCGGGGGGCGGCTGGACTCTGGTGGCCAGCGTTCATGAGGACTACAGCCGAGGAAAGTGCTCTCCTGGAGACCGCTGGTCCAGCCAGCAGGGGAACGACCTGAACCGGCCCGGAGGAGACGGCTCATGGGCCAACACACACACCTTCGGCACCGCAGAGGGGTCCACCAGCGACGACTACAAGGTAGGGGAGACCTCACACTGTTACACTTGCTCAGTTTGTGTAAACCTACTTAAGGGTCAGAGTGTTTCGTTTTCCCCCCAGACATAGTGTCGGCCCAGATCCGGCCCATATCCGATACACAAGGATTCCACACGGCCCAGATGTGGGCCGGATCTGGGCCGACACTATGTTGCTGTCTGGAACACGTCTAGTACAATTATGTGGTTTTGTTTCATTAATACAGTGTATACTTTTTTCTTGATTTACCCTTAAAAAGAATGGAAGCGAGTGTGACAACATGCCCCATAGTTGAGGTTCATTATAACATGACCATATGACAGATTCAAATATTATCTGATCTAATCAAACAAATATAAAGACGAACTAAAATATTTTGTCAATAAAATACAATTATTGACTTTTTAAATATAGTGGCATTTTTAATAATTAAAAATAATTTTGAGTTTGACAACAAACACTGCAAAACACAGCTATACAGTTCAAAACATAATAATAATTAATAATTTCTTAACATTGACTCTTTTTCTTCTGGTTTCTCAATAGAATTAATAAAAGTATATAATATATCATAGTTCTAACAGGGGCTCATCGTGTGACAACATGCCCCGGTTTAAACCCGGAGAGTGTTTCTGCTGTTAGATCCGCATTAAACAACTATCTCACCTGTTAAATAACACATATAAGATTAAAATAATACCAGATTTGTCTAATTTTAAATAAACACAAAAAACAGAGAAGAAAAATTAACATTAGAAATGTACTTTTGCTGTGGTTAAATAAATGTTCAGCGATATCTTCCAAAATATTTTTTTAATTTTGGCGCAAATTTTTCTCTATAGTGTTGATATGGCAACTTGTAAATACACCAAGTTTCGTCATGCATGTGTGGAAGTATTTAAAACAGGCGTGTGACGACTAGCCCCGCTCAGCCCTACATCATTAACTCCACTGAGTCTGGTACTGATAATCTGATGCCGAAAGTTGTGGAATCCCACAGAATCCCGGCTACTACGACATCTCTGCCCAAGACGTGTCCGTGTGGCACGTGCCCAATGATGAGCCGCTGAGCAACTGGACGTCTTCTGCCATCCTGCGCTACCATACCGAGAGCCGGTTCCTGAGAGAGACTGGAAACCTTTACCACCTGTTCAAGGTCAGACACACTGTCCTGTTTAAATAAAAATACAACATGTACGGATGTAATGCTTCTAAAGAGTCGGACACATTTACACTGATGCTTGGTGACTGTATCCAATTTTTGACAAGTTTACATCTAAAATTATCCCATATCTGACATCTGCTTTTACACTAGCCTACACAAAACAACCCAAGGTAGATGTACTGACCTGGAAAAGCTTAAATAAGTTAAAACGGTGTGATTTGCAATGGACGCAGATTAAGCGATAATACAAGCTTTTGCTTTACGCACCATTTTTTAAAGTCCCCCTGTAGTCAATCATTTTATCCCTTAAAACTCATCTATGATCACCAAAATTACATATTTCAACGTTTCTTCCTTGAAAAAAATCCTCATGTCTTATAATATCTTGAATGTAACTTGACACCCTTGCCTCATTTAGTATGCGCGGCTCTATGAATATGCAAATGAGCCCCGCCTCCACTCACTCACTCACTCAGCTCAGAGATCCACTGGTTGACGATCACACGTTGATCTGATTGGTTACAAGGTCGTTTGTGACGTCAGAAACACCAGCGATTTCAAACCGTGTTTTTGAGACTGTCTTAACATGTGCTTGTGCGCCGGCGCACTGAAGCGTCATTTTAGTGATCAAAGATGAGTTTTAAGGGATACAATAATTGACTACAGGGTGACTTTAAATATGGGTTAATTTGCATACATTTTGAGGAAACAGAAATGTTGTTGATATATTAGAGTTTTTTTTTTTTTTTTTTTTTACAGTTTTATCACTCCATAAATCATGCTGTCAACCGCCAGAATTTTTTTTTTTAACCTTTTTTTTTTACCATTTTACCATTTCTAAAAAAAGAAATTCCGTTTCTAAGAATAACATGTTAAATGTATATCAGAATCCTTCATAATATACAGGTACCCAGACAGCAACACAGTGTCAGCCCAGATCCGGCCCACATTGGGTACGAGTGGATTAAACACAACCCAAATGTGGGTCGGATCTGGGCTGACACTATGTTGCTGTCTTCGTAGATAGGAATAAAAAAGTTTGGTGTGTGTAAAGATTTCTGACTCAGTCTATAAGAAAAAATAATTTAGAGGGAAAAAAGAGTGAAAAAAATCAAGATATGTATTTGAAAATCTGCAGATGCAAATAGATAAAGTGTATTAAAATAGACACCCAAATGTACATTTTGGAGGTTTTCTTTCCACAAGTATGAAAATAGACATGCTATGGAAAGCAAATAGCCCAGAATCTCAAACCTGAGCAGTGCCTGAAAAAAGCAAGTAGTCTCTCCTTGAAGAAAACGGCATTTGTGCAACTTGACGTTTCACTCAAGAACTCCTGTTGACTGACACTGAACCCCGACCGACCCTATACATACCCAATAGAATAACTCTGGGGGGGAAAACTAAATGTTTTAAAGCATTTTCATTAGTATTTTCATTGAACAAATGTAAACATGTGCCGCTTGAGCTGAAGATGAGATGTTTTGTGAATGTGTAACAGAAGTTCCCGGTGCGGTTCGGAGCCGGACGGTGTGACAGTGATGTGGGAGCCGTCAGTCCGGTAGTGTTTGACACGGGAGACAAAGACTCGACTGCAGACTTATACGGGCCGTCTGCTGCTGGAAGTACTGAACTCTACTTCACATTACAGGGCCAGTTTACATTTGCTCACGTCATGCGTTTTTAGCGACATAGTGTCGGCCCAGATCCGGCCCACATCCGGTACACATGGATTCCACACGGCCCAGATGTGGGTCAGATGTGGATCTGGGCCGACACTATATTCTGATTTGTTAAAACCGTTTCATTTACACTTAGCTTGAAGAGATGTCTTATCGACCACAAGTTCAGTA